AAACTTTCATTATGGTCAACTGAGCGTAACGAGAAAGCATTGTAATCTATATATAAAAAAAACTATCGCGATACATTTCATGAAAAACAACTCAATCTACTTTTTATAAAAAGAAATTCACGCCCCAAATTCAACCATGCATAATATTTTTTTCGATCTCATAAGTGCTCAAACATAACTTTTAAAAACTGCACTGTAACCGTCCTTGTACCTATATACTTTTTATATACAGGAAATGTTTGACCCAACCCTCATTTCACTAACTAAAACTATACAAAGTATTTCAACGTGTCCGTCTCTCACAAAGACGGCCGGGGTTCGATTCACCGATCGGGCCGTTAACAGGTATTGTTGTCACTTGTCCGACCAGGTTTCAATGCTTGCAAATATAGGGATTTAAAAGAAAATTACGATTTCCTCAATTTTGTGACGAATTTTCCAGTCTCTTATTTTCTTTTCTTACAGAAGCCTTCGCATAATTATAGGTTTCCCCTATCTCTCTATTTCAGTAATGGTAGGTTATACTGACATCAAAACATACACCAAAGAGTTTGAATTTGATACCATCAAATCACTGCTCTTTCAATACATAACTTCCTTTACAAGATTTTCATAGATTATTTAGAAACAGTATATTTGATTTCTCACAACAATGATAGTTTTGAATCACGTTTTTAGCTTTCCTGGTCCGAATAATCGATGAGCTTACTGCGATTAACCGGCGCACGTCGTCTGTTTATTTATTTCCTTTAGACTGCTACTAGTCGTAAACGACAGATCAGAGTCTGTGGATTCAGTTTTGGTAGGAATCATCTTGAGAGAAAGAGATTTAAGTTTATAAATGATGGGGCTCCTGAAACGATGTATATAGCAAATTCTTTAAAATTCTTCTTCTTCTGTAGGACTAATTGCATTTTGTCCAATTTTGGCCTGGGGCATTTCTGGATGCAAAGCACATAGTTAAGTATATACGGTGAATCAGATTCCCATGGAAGCAGAGAGAAAAAGTCCAATACCGAAATAGAGGGGCGGATATCAAATCCTCCTTCTGTTGGGCTGAGGGTATTTTGAAGCATCCTTGAGTGAAGTTGAACCAACTTTGTATAAAGTAGGGCGGGACTCCAATGTAGAGATTAAACAAATTCTTGAAAGTCCTTATTTGTCTGTAGGAATGACAGAATTTCGTTCAAACTTTGTCCAAAGCATTTTTTTTACTTTACTTCGTTTATGAACGATAAATTTGTGAAAAGAAATGTCTTGAGGTAAAATATCCGGGTGACGATGAATGTCAGCAGGTACGGGCTCTTGTTCTTTATTGTAATGTCACCATGTACGAAAAGGCCGTAGGGTTCGTAGAATCGAATTCATGTTAAATTCCTTTGAAATGAACCCTTTCACTTCCATGGGATAAACGTACATGAAGTGTTAAGGTTACAGGCTAAAAATTAAGTCTAGTTTATCGATTGTTTAATTGGGGCCCAAATCGATCTACCGATTTCACACAAAGTAGAATTTACATATTGGCGACACAGGCACTCGAGGCCAGGATATTAATTTTTAAACATTAATTTTTGTTTTAGCACTCATGACTGACGTTATTTAAACGAAATATAAACTTGAATTCTGCTGATATTTCGTTTAAATAACGTCAGTCATGAGTGCTAAAAAAAAATCAATTTATTCAGATCAGACGAAATAATTACAATTTAATTCCAGGAACCGATAACGAAAGAATGAAGCATAGATAGTTTATGTGTAATTCGAATTTGGCTGTCATAGTTCAGACAGTGTTGAAAAATGTCTAGACAATTGTTTGGGTTGGATTGGGTTGGGTTGGTTGGTTTGTATGGTTGGGTGAGGCGTTTTTCGTTTACATGACACCACACCGTGTACATTTTATCACTAAATATAACTCTAACAGCAGATAGTATTACGACACTGAGACATCATACCGGAATTCCCAACCACAAGTCAAGGTGCCCATCCAGGGATAGGCCTATATCCCAAATATTCCGAAGCAAAATTGAAAAAAAGAAACCAAGACAATATTGAAATGATGGAAGATTAATGATTCTATTATTCACATCTATACGACAATTAAAGAGAAATCTTAACTCTTTCGTAAAAAAAAAAAAAAAAAAAAACAGTAGCATATTTACGTCTTTAGAACATTAGTTATAAGCGTAAATGATAAACTTAGTAAAACACGTAACCGTGATTAAATACCATAGCTTGGACACGTTAGTGTGACACTTCATCCTGCAAAACTGACATTATTGAGGTAATAGATCCGGCGATCCTCTCACTTGGGTGAACATGTACACTTATCACTAACTCCAAAACCGAGGTATTCCGCAGAAGAAGGATAATACTTGTAGATTCTTTAAGTACACTGTACGTCTCAATTCCTAAGCCTACAAAGGCTTGAGGTAAATACAATATTTCTGCAATATTGGGGAGCTATTAGAGCTACCCACGAGCCCCTGGGACACCATGCAAGTGTATTAATCTGTGATAAAGGGGAACAAAAATGTCGGGAGAAGACGCGGCCGTACTCACCGTGAAATACTAGGAAAACGCCACTGTTTTTAAAGAAAGTGGAGGATGTCTGGAAATGAAGGTCCGACTCTCTCAAACAAAAGTATTTGCTTAGTATATCGACAAATGAGAGAAAGTTAATTCACCAACACAGTATCTCAGAGCCAACGTTTCCCAAATGTTATGGAAAATGTGAATATAAGGAAAAAAACAATATTGAAAACTGATAGTAGAGCTTCCGGCATTGTAGTTTTAATTAAAAGATCCGATGTGTATGGTTTTGTCCCTGCTATGGGTATTTTTTGTCTGTCCTGAAGGTATCAAGTCGAGATTACAGACCATCCTCTTCTGTCTGGGACTGTATTCCACGTGATAACGCGCGGCGGGCTTCTCGTTTGTTGTTCAGCGAGGTATCTGCAATTTCCGCAGTTTAAGGGGAAATTACTTTTGGTGAAGGATAATTTTGCATAATAACGTGTCTTTTTACATTCCGACATGTAACACAATACTTCTCTCATTTCTACCCTTGTAATACTGTTTGTTCGGGGCAATAACCCAGGTTTACTGTTGTATTACACACCCACCAATGCATACAGTCACGCAAGTAGAAATTTGACGCGTTCCTTTCCAATTGACGTCATCAACTGATATGATATATATACATCACCTACGCATCACAACATCATAAGCTTATACTTTTTCACAAAATGATGCACGGTCTAGCCCCGAAATTATCATAATCACAATATTCGTATTGGAAATCATTTTCGTCCTCTGATTATTCATACACATTTTTTTACCGAGTCCTTCTTACAATCTGTCATTTCTAGATGGAATTCTATACCAAATCTTGTCAAGAACGACCCTTCTATTCATAAACTTAAAAACATGTGCGGATGACTACCCAGAAAAAACCCTTGTACAGTGGTACCAGAATTGGACATATACATCACGCTAGACTATGTATGGAGTGTAGTTTCCAAAAATTTTATTTGCTCAGAAGTCATCTCATTGATAGTCCTCTCTACTCATGTGTATGGAAGCAAATGAAACCAATTAACATTACCTATTATTACATTGTCGACTCTTTTCTCAACTGCTTATACAAATATTCAGTGGAATTGATCATCCACTCACAGATGACATACATTTGCTCGGGAACGAAGAGTTTGCTGTTAATGAACATGTTTAAAAAATCTTGTGTACAAAATTTCATCATCAGTTTTAAAATGTTTGACTAACTTAGCAAAGTACAAAACTTTTTTCTCTTTTTTCTTCAAGTTTGAGTGCGTGAACTGTCAGATATATATATCGTCTTCATTTAAGTTGGAACGGGGCAACATCACCCTCCTCCCTCCCACTATCTCCCTGTTCTCCTATTATTTCATACCGTAGTGATATGTCCCGTGTGCATTCTATAATATTTACGAATGCTTACCGTCATGACTTCATTTAATTAACTACGGACTCCAGGAAACGGATTTATATAAGTCAATGACTTGTCTCCGAATCCTTTTCCAGTTTGATATGACTTATATTTATTGTCTTGTATATATCACATGTTGGAATGTATATACATATTTATGTACAAATAGTTATTTGCAGTTACATTCTTAACGGCCCGTCAACACATAAAAGGTCATTAGAGCCATCCACCGGTAAACACACAGAGATCCAAAAAGGAAATAACATCAAACAAACTAAAAGATAAAAGGTAAATGCTGTAAAAATTCAAAGGTTGTATAATCGCAAATGATGAAAATTTTTAGTCATAGTCTATAATACAGACCACGTTTTTCAGATAATGTATAATTTTATTAATCTCCACAGTTTCAAAAAGGGATTTAGAATTGTATTGTAAGGATAAAAAAATCTCGGGTAGAGGTCAATGCAGTCCAATAAAAATGTTTAACGGTGAATAGCTCATCACATCCTTTGCATCGAGGGTTATCTTCGCCTTTCAACATATATGAATGCGTAAGGTATGTATGGCCCATCCGAAGACGGGCAAGGATAACTTCGTCTCGATGGTTGTCTCTATGGCATGGCGACTATTCACCGATAAATGGAGTTATCATTGACAAAAATAAAGTAATAATAAAAATAAACTAAAACACACGTTTGGTTACCTATACAATTTTGTAAAACTGATAGTTTGGTTCCAGTGTTCCGTGTATCAAAACATGGACCAGCTTGCTGCTCTGTCGCATACAAAATCAGTACAAACACTCTACCACAGAGATTACGGAATATATATTCTGAGAGAAAGAGGTTTAATTACAAAACAAAATTCATTACACGCCAAATACTTATGGACAATAGCTGTATGCTTTATTTATTTAATATACGTTAATATTTCACTTAAACATCCGCACTAAATCGCGCCACTGACTGTTGCGTTCCTGACATTAGGCATACCCCACTTGAAACGGGATTTCGCGAGATCAAATGGCAGCTTCCTGCGGGAAAATCTTGCCACACACAACTGCAGCAAAGGATGCGGATAACAGGATATGAACTGGTTGACTTTTAATGAGGACGTATTTTGGTATTGAGACTAAAGGTAAGTTCTGAATTGAATGCTTATTTCGAATTACTAACCCTGACTGTTTGATGGCATCGTCCTTTATAGCTGGCGAAGGTCTTTGTCGACTGCTGATGCGATTTTGCACGCATCACTGACTTCAAGCCTAGGAGCACCGGGATTCTGTGATTTTTCGTTGTTCCTGTTTTAAAGTGATTTTTGATAGTGTGCTCAACAAGATAAAGGACACATTAAAGACACGATTTTGTATCAGTTATTTAGAGACATGACATACATTTGACAGCTGTGTGAAGTAAAAAAATAATACCAACATTTGAATTGTTTAAGGGCGATTTCATGGGTAGGTGATGGAGGATGGGCGTGAGGGCGAATGCGTTCGTGCGTATTTGTCGGACTCAAATGCTGCATGAGTTTGCAACATCCCGCAAATAGGACTTGATTAACTGCCTCAAACTATTTCAGAAACACTACTTTTGAATAAACACGGTTTTGTTTTCTGTATTGAAAATAACAAATATTTCAGATAAAAGCTCTGTAGATTTTGTATGTAATTCACACCATAAATCACTATTACCTTGCATAAAAAATGAAACAAAGTAATAAATACAAGTTGTGTTTAAAATACACAATTCTCTGGTGAGTAAATCAGATGCTGTATATTAGAGGGATGTGCCTGAAGACTAAATATTTTCCATTTCCAACTTAAGAAAGAAGCCATAGATTTACATATAGATTATAATAGTTTCTTTATAATGCTTATTTTTCAGTTACTTCATGATCTGAAGACAATATGGCTGAAGAACTGATAAAAAATGTTGTGGATATTATGGAGAGTGCCCACACACAGAAAATGCAGTTGTCAGAACTGCTCCACTCCTTGGATGAGGCACAGGATCAGGTACAGCTTTTCAAGTTTATCATTTAGTGAACTCAACTTTATTATTTCCAGCTCAAAGTTAACTGATAACTTTCTTGGTTAGATGGCCAACACTGAGGCCAAAAGCACAGTAGTATAAAGATAGGCATTAGATAGAAAAAAAACATCTGTAGAGGGAGATAAAGGAAAAATGAAATGTTTACCGGACTATTTTTATGGTTATGCTAAGTGGAGAGAGCAGGTGTTGTTCTTATGCTGTGACCTACAGGGCAGTAATGTGATCATTACACTACAATTTTAAATAAATTTCAATCCATCAAGAAAGTTTACTGAAGGGATACTTTTTGTTTTCAGGTCAATCAGAGTGCTGACAAGTCCAGATCTGAGTTGAAAGCACATTTCCAGACACTGAAGAAAGCCATTGACCTAGCGCTGGATGACCGGCTGACCACTCTCATAAAGGAAGTGGACAAGATAGAGAAGTCTGCCTCGGTTCCCCTCAGTCAGTGTAAAGATATGATCAACCAAGGAATGGACGCTGCCACCAGAGTGATGGACGAAGGTCAGTTACAGAAATAGAAAATTTTTACAAAGTCCTTGATGTGTTTGTATATCATGTTTATTGTTTCACTTATGATCAAAGTTATTGTACATGTCACAAGCACTATTTACACAAGAAATATTGTTTCAAGTTGCCCATTACTAAGAGATTTAGTGGGATTCCAAAATTTTGATGAATCCCACATGAAAAGCATCAGTCACAGACTCAAATATCTGAGTCCCAAAAATCACTGGGTAACATAAGGTTAAATATGGTTTGATTTATTTGAAAGTTATTAAATGTGAGCTAGATAAATATATTAAAACTATCCATATTTAGTTTGGCGGGGTCTTTTTGTTCTTAACAAAACTATCAACTGATAATGACACCTTGAAAGATGTAGAAGAGATATCGGAATTCCAAGGCTGACAGTTGATGAAATGATTTTGTGCTTATTAGCGACATGACATGGAATGTGACTACTGGATAACTCTACTGAATGCTGCAAGAGAAGAAAAAGATATTTCATACAGGATTTTGAGAAAATCATAAATAAATCAGGATTCAATCAGAGTGCAGGATGGAAAATTACTCTGAATTAAAATGAATAAGAATCACATGTAATGACTTTACAAGGGGTTTTAAGAGCTCCTTGCACGAAAGCTTGACCTGTATAAAGGGACATAACTACTGAGCACTTGCTGAACACTTGACTTCAGCTTGTGATCAAATCATCAAGAAAAATGTAATTCAAGTATACATATTCTAATTATTTCAAAGCGTTGAATTATATGATAAGTTTTAGTAGCTGTACATTGAATTTTATTTGCTTTTTTTTGTTTTAGTTTAGTTTTATTTTAATTCATATTTTAGGTGGTTCCATTTTGTCTGATAACCCAGCACAGAAGGTTGAGCAAATGGTCCGGTTGAAAGATAATCCTGACACAAGAGCACTGAACAGGTATTATTTGCATTGAATGTATTAATGTTTGTTTGTGGTTTTGTGACAGATACAAGATTTGCATAGCACAAAGCATTTTGAGAAATACTGGAAATGGGATATCTTTGCAGTGTTCCAGCTGTGCCTCACTTGAGTGACGTGCCTTGCATCAGTGTGGAGTTAGATCGAGATTTCCAGGACAGACTGTCCCAACTTATCGCTCTGGAGGGAAAGGTCCTAGAGCGTAGTCCCATACAGATCACTGACACTATAGAACGTCCTGGGGGCATTCTGGTCAAGTGGATAGAGGTCAGAAATAAAGAACTATCATTGATGACATGGAATTTTAGCCTAACATTTGTTAAGGAAAAATTTCCTTTTAGAGCAAACTTATAACTTAAGTATTTTGATATGCAACGTGTATATACATGTGGAATGTAATGTTTGAGTACTAACTGTCTATTGATACAATTTTATGTCTTAATTTGAAGAGGAATGCTAACTCAAGATTTTAATTGTCAAAGCAGAATAAAAAGAAAAAAAAAAGAAAATATTCTTTTCTGTACTACACTGTGAAAAAATGGCATTGTACGAGCTAAAATTTTGAGTTGCTGTTCTATGATCTTTACAAAGGCAAAAACTAGTTGAACGTTTGGCTATCCCATCTATTGCAGGTTGATGAGGAATTGGAAGTGTCAGAGTTTTGTCTACAGTATTGTTATGGTAATGCCAAAACTGCCTCTAGTCCAACATTCCACACAGCATATACTGGCCCAAATACTTCTTACACCGTTAAAAACCTTGGGACCAACACCCCATACTCATTCTGTGTCAGTTGTCGTAGCAGCAATAACAACAGCAGTTGGCCATGGAGTGTATCAAGTGTGCCATGTATAGCACAAACAACAATACCACACTATGGTAAGCTGGAATGAAAATGATCTTCCTGATACACATAATGAATGCACTTACAAAATATATTATCACAAACATGTCAAAACCACCTGCATTTATAGTAACAAATGCCAAGTCTACTTAATAAGGCCACCTGATGTTTAGGATATAGATATTTGAGCCCTGGAATCAAATTGTCTTGTAAGTCTCTTCAGAAAGTTTAGGATCGTCACTTTCTCTTGGTAACTGGATTTCCTGAAAAATGCAAAAGGAATCGATGCAGAAATATTGATTTTAATGAACAGGATTATACATTTAAAGAACGTACATAAGAGATAAAGTTATTTTCTTATTTCTTCTTTTCTAGGACTATTTCAATCACTGTTTTCCTCTTGTCTTTGTTCTAGAGTGGTCCTCTGAATGTCCCAGCTACACAGTGACTTATGAAAACAAGATCGCCACTAGGAATGATTCTGGTGACACCATGGTTCTCTACTCCAACGCTAGCTCCTGTGTACCTGGACACCCAATTACCTTCAAGGTAATTTCCGTCGGAGAGACATCACCATTTGACAGTGTTGGCCTCAGTCTGGACAACAGCAACACTGACACGTTACAACGGGATGATGCCATATTTGTCACAAAAACAGGTAACTAGATTGCGTATAGTGTGAAATATGGTATTAGAATACTTCAAACATGTGGGTTTTCCCCGTGTACTCCGGTTTCCTCCCACAATAAGACCCCTGCCATGCTTACATCCGGGCCAACAAGAGTGATTAGTATAAGTTGAAATATCTTATTTCACAATTGTTGTAAAATAAATCAAGTTTATAGTTTTAAAATACTTAGAATGTGATAAGCCCATGCTTGGTAATAAGTCCACCCATACCTATTACAGCTCTGTGAAAATGTGAAGTTAGATAGAGATTCTTATATGGATGCAGCAATAATAATCCATTGCCAGGTCATAAGCCCATGCCTGGTAATAAGCCCACCTATATAGACAATGTATTTCTGTTTTAGTAAGATTATCAACTATAATACTATTTCACTGTCCTGTAATAGGCCCCATATCTGACTTTGTTTGAGAAGTGATGTTTTGGCCCTCTAGGCTAATTTTAGAAAAAATAAGGTATCTGTTAATCCTCTGGGCTTATTTCACTGCAATTGATTTAAATGGACATTACATAGTGATTTGTCCTTAATGTAATATTGACTGTGGTTATTAACATCTGATGTAGTTTTCTCATGGCCTAGCTGTTAAATGGTTATGTTATATTAGTAGGGAGAGGTAATGCTGATTGATTCAAGACACTAACAAAAGTATCACATGATTCTAAAGTATATCAAATGAATTCATCAAGATCTTAAAAGCATAGTGCTCAAAGAAAAAAAAAAAGAAGAAAATTACTGAACAGGTTTTGCATCAAGTTTGCAGCCTTTGACCAATAATGTTTATTCTGAACTTGAATATCTAAACAGGATGTGTCTTCGTTGATGGCCAAGAAATGAAGATCAAGCTACCGGAAATGAAAAAAGGATCTTTGTTAACCTTTGACCTTGAAGAACTGTCCAATGGTAAGGTGCGAGTCAGTGTGGAACTGGAGGAAAAAGTTGTTACGTTTGATTGGAAAGTGCCACAACCACCAGGACTCGTTGGACTTCCTGGTGGCTGCGGACTCGGAGGAGGCCTACTAGGAGAGAGTAAACGCAAGTTTTACTTTGGAATGAAATTTAGTCATGAAGATTGGAAAATTTTAGTTGAATAGAATCAAACTTGATCTTTCTGACGTCAATTTTGTAAAAATCTCACATTTAAAGTTGGAAAGAGTGAAGCCTTTTTTTCAGAAAACATTTCATACATATTGGCTGATATTAAGAATTTTAACCTCTACCAATATTGCCTCATACGCGTGATATTTAATACATTCGTTGCAAGGTTTTGAGTAATTACAATATTTTCCTTTAAAACATTTTGGATTGTAAAATCAAATGACTATGTCAGAAGTTTATAGATTAAATCATTATGAGAAACAAACACACAGGATGTGAATTTTATTGATGTATAACATACTGTGTTGAAAATTTTCCTGTTGGAGTCTTGTACATCATTGATTATGGAGAGTAATTTGATAACAGGAACAGAAAGCAGTATTGAGGAATGAATGGGCTATAAAAATACTGCTAACTTTGTATTTGTTAGATCATATTAACATCAGAAGTGGCATTCATTCAGTGAATGATTTAAAATGTTTTTAAAAATATATTGTTAATTTACCATGGAAGAAAAATGTAGCCAATGTATTAATATAGAGACAGAAGATCCTAGACTTCTTAACTAAGACATTCCTGCTGTGGCCTTTGCTTCGTAGATTGCTGTAGGAGATGTTCATTACAATGTATCCTAATAAAGTCATTTTTATTATTGCAATAAGTCCATGCCTCATTAGGACCTATACCTAATACAGTGTGGTTCCATCTTGTTAAAGAACAATTATTAATATGAATTGATAAAAAAAATTTCATCGTTGTTGAAAAAATTTACGATTTATTGGGGTGAAGTTATTGAAAATGAATGAAATAATTCTACATTTTGTACATATCAACTTTAACCTTAACACCTATGGTACAGGTTTGGTTCCTTAGTCAAATATGAAAAAGAAATTTGGTCATTCACCTGACTTTGTGTTTCAACCCAGGCCAAAAAAATTGAATGATATAAGTTGATGAGAATTAGCTCATGATTGATTGAAAATTAAATGAAATTGAGTCATAATATTTGGCACGTCAATTTATTTATACAGAAAAAAATTTAACAGGCATGTAGGAAAGACATATGAGACAAGGCTTGGGCTTGTAGTTTGAAATTAGGCACAGGCTTCTACGTGTGTTGTTCATGAAATAATCTAAAAGTTCGTACCCTTTTGGTCTTGCTAAGCAGTACTGGCCTAGAATGTGTTGATATCATTGGTAAATTCTAGCACCTCCCATCACGGCAGGGCTTACATTTTCATATCATCATGTTTATCGCTGCTGACTTGCATCATGCTTGTATTATTACAATGTACTAAATGTGATGATGATGTTTCCTAATGTGCTTTAACAAGTTAATAAATAGTCTCATATCACCATTTTTTTTAAAAATTCATGTTTGATATTTGAAGTATATATAACATGTTATTAAGGTTATTCCTTTAAAAACACTAGTTTATAACAAATGACAGTATATTAAATATTGATAGCGAATTTGTTTATATTGTATCGAGTCAGAATCCAGCCAGTCTGTTGTATATTGAAATGTTCTTTGTTGGCATATAAGAAAATATATATACAGAAGAAAGCGTGTTATTTCACAAAAAATAAGATAGTTCATAAGGGATTTTATGCATTGTTAAACAAAGTCTAATTGTAATTTTATACGAAACCTGAAAGGGTGATCTTTTCCTGCCATAATGATTAAACATAGATTTGTCGTCCAGTATATCTTGATAAAATAAATGAATTGTTGACAAGTTAGATATGTATTTATCTGTAGGAGAGCTACTAGTACTATGAATGTTTGGGTTTGTTTCAGAAATTATTTTTGAGATCAGTCAAAAAAAAAATTTTTTTTGACCATAAGTAGCCAGTTCCAATATTTAAGAAAATATTTTCTCAATAATTTTAAAGTTTTTTAATTTTTGAGATTGGAAAATGGAATATTCAGACAACCAATTCTAATTTTTGTTGTATTTTTTTTTAATTTATATGAATTCAGTTATATTCCAGAACAGTTTTCATCTTAAATATCAGAATGTACCTTGGTATATAATAAAATTGATTTTATTCAATGGCATTACTGATATTTTCCAATGTGCAATGAATTGATCATGAAATATTTTACTATATTTAAATGAAATGCATGCTTATTTTATACGATGATTTCATAGTCCAGGCGATATTAACTAAACAAATATGAATTTGTAAAAAAATATAGGATATGAGTTTCTTAATTTTGATTTCCACAAATGGAAAAAAAAATGCTGCACAATGGTGGACTTGTTGTTAAGCCAGGGCTAATATAGTGACTCTGTCTTTGTCTTCTGCTGTAAGCTTGTATTATATTGCTCACTCTGCATTTGTCTTCCACAATTAAAAGTGATATTTTTCAAACATTATGATATGTGCATTTAATTTGTATAATTAAGTTAATATTATACGAATGTCTTAATGGTAATTTGTTTTTGTAACAAATACATGAACTTTAACTTGTATAGTCTGTTACTGGTACAGCTAAACCAACAGTATTTACATTGATGTATTAAATTGCAAATCCATTGTGTATGGTACAACATACCAAGATTTTGACATATTAAAATAGACTCACAGGAACAGGAGACTGTTGTTCTCGTTCATTGTGTGATGCATATTCAAACTTTGATTTTAATATTTATATATTAATGAAATCTCACTAGTCCACATATGCTGAGCCCAGATGTTTTAGAAGTAAAGTTTCAAGAAAGAAATTTCCTGGTCGTTGACATATATTCAGTATTGTCTGACTGTATAGTGATTTTTATGGACAACTTAAAGAGTGGAGAAGCTACTGTATATACAGTCAAACCTCTTTATCTCAAACTCATTAAACTCAAATACTTTGGTCTAACTTGAAGCATTTTGTTGGTCCCCGCCTAACTTCACACAAAGCATTCAAATTCTTTAAAAATTTAATTCTTGGTTGTCTGAAGTTTTTCTGTTGTCCTGCCAAGTTCAAAATAGGGAGGTTTGACTTTACTTCACCCCCCCCCCCCCCAAACATCATGCTTGCCTAATGTGATTACTGTATTTTTGTGTCTCTCTTTAATATGATCATAACAGTCACGTTTAACCATTTTATTTGTGTATTGTTTACATTTGTAAGATATTCATAGCACTCCTTTAGATTAGCAACCGAACTTTGTTTAAGTATTATTACCTGTATACAAATTATATCACGAAATCTTGTTTGAATTATATGGACCAAAATCATATTACATTTCCTATAAACTACTTTTGGAGACTAAAACCCTTCCCTTCAGACATGAGTATGTGTGAAGCAGTGGGTTTATCTGTTGTATTACAGCTTTAGGCATGTGTATAAAATGTGTCGACTGTGAAATATTATGTGAAACGAGTCTGTTGTAGAACATCTGCATTGCTACTCATAGGCATTGCAAATTTACTAGCACAGGGAGGATTAGAAGTTTGGGTGTGTCCAACTTGCTAGCATTATCATTTCATCATGGCATACATCAAGAAGAATTGTTTAGCTATGCGGTGCATTACATTAACATTAAATTTGTTGATTATTTTCAAATATTTGTGGATTGTAAACTTTTAATTAACTTTAAAATTGTTGACGATTTCTTCCAAATATTTATGCGAATTGTGTGTGTGTATATATCTTTTCATTATTAAAGTGTTTGGTTTGCATGTGGTTTTGAGATTTAACACTAGATCTGAGGTACTGAATCATTTTAAAGGTAAAGAATCAATGGAAGGTATGGCCGTCATTTCATACTCAACATTGTTTTCATCTTCTAATAATTGGATTTTTTCCTTTTTATATGATGAATGTATAAGTTGATATTAACTGCAGTTGGTAAATGTGTAGTATGAATGGTAGGAACAAAGTTTGAATCATATCTTGAAAATCCTTGATAACAGATACTTTAGTCATAACACATTATATAACATCACATCAAAGTGCCGTTTTATCTCACTGTTGGAACCAATGTTCTAGAAAATGAAATAAAATATATGGAATGTTCTGCTGTTTATGTGTTCGGTGTTTTTTTTTTTTTTTTTTAAATATTGAAACACACATTTTGTATATCAAAGGGTGTGTCAGATTTTAACTGAGAAAATCATACGTAATTTGAGAGTACAAGACTTGGATGGAATTGAAAAGACAAAACAAGGCTATTTTTATACCAACATTTACTTCCATCTGGTAATAACATATTTCCAATTCAACAAAATCCTGTATACAAAAATATGCTAAAAATAGTCAAAATAGCACACAAATATTCTAAAACATACACTAACTGGTGATGGTTGATACACTGAGGCAGTTGATAATGTCATATTCTGTATTTGTGTCCACTAGGTGTAGGTAATATATTGTGTTGAAGGGACATAACTCTGCTGGTCATCTAAGTTTTGAGTACAAAATGTAAACGCCAAGTAGATATATACTAACAGAATAAAGTTGAGTGTACAGCAATGTGTCATGTTTTTTTAAAAAGATTATTTTAGTTCTTGAATCTGAATTGTATCCCACTGAAATAAATCGTACAAATCTTTTCCACCCTAAAAATGTTCAAAGTGCATAAAAATACTAGAACATTTGTTGGATGGTATGAAAGCATGCCTGCAAGTACCAAAATAAGTCACAAAATTTACAAATTTATAAATCTCTATCTAATTTTCTATTGATAAAAGCTAAATGTGTAAAAAGATGGAAAGATGAAATTTAAGATACATTTATTCCCTATGTAGGTTTCATTTTACAACTTCAATTTTAATCTTATCAAAATTAAATTTTACTGCAAGAACCTTAAATTGCAACACAATGAAAAGAAGACTAAACCTGTCAATACATAGATGTAGGTAGGTACTACATGTCATAGGATCCTTTAATATATAACTGAAACCGTAGACACTGAAATTGCAGTAATGACAGTTCCTACATGGTACTAATGAAAACTGAAATCTATAGTATACATCTTGCCCTTCTCCATCAATGTATCATGAATTTTAAGATGATTCATGAATGTTCATTTTTTACAAAATAAAATGCCCTTCACGATTATATCACAGTAAATAAATGACATAAAAAAAAAATTATCTTGTAGTTGTACTTCATGAAATTTCTGGGATATCTACTTTTGAAGACATGTTAATCAATTACATTGTAGATACTCTGTGAAAAGATATATTTTACCTATGATTTTAACAACCAACACACAAACATTTTCAAATCTGGATTATTGCATTACTATTTTCCCCATGAAAACTAACTTTGTTCAGTATCTTTTCCTAATCTTGACAGCTTTTTAACTTGTGCTGTAATCAATTAAGTACAAACAGTGGATAAATTTCTTAGTAAGAACTATAATACCATTAAATATACTCTAAAACAAAGTACTGAAATAGGCTTATCACAGGAAAATAATGAAAGCTATGTCTTGACATTTCTCACAAAACTGCCACTGAATGAATTCAGTATATGATAGGTGACACCCATACATGTATCTTGTATTCGTTATCCCATTAAAGGCAACAGACTAAATCACATAAACTTGAATTGATTAAGATGCATTTAAAATCCAAATGACTGAAGTTGGGCTGGTCTATCATTTCTGGAGTGAGAGCTTTAAGAGTATGTTTTCTGACAATGTGTTGCAATGGAGTGAAATCAATAATTGCTATGATTACATGTTGTGAAGACTCGCTAGTGATGAGGACCTGATGTCATAATCTCTATAAATAGCACAGGTTTCAGGATGGCGATGCATGCATTCAATGAAATAATGAATACATTTCATAACTAAAATGTTCATGATAATGATTGCCTATCAATCTTGATTTTGGTTGTAAATCTTGAATGTACTACATCGATTTACTACTTGTTCAGGATTTTAAGCCCTTCTTCTGGTACAACCCAGCCCTTTATATTACTTCATTGATCAGTAGAATAAGCAATGCTATTTCCCTGTCCTGTAATAAGCCCACTATCTGCTTGACTTTCAAGACAAAGAAAATATATTCGCCCCTGGAATTGTGGGATTAACATGATTTTGTGTTGCTACATCTTGTACCTCATACAGTTTCAACTCCAAATTCCAAATGAAAAAAAAATCTCTCACAAATAAATCCTACATAGAAAGGAATATTTTCATTGTTCAGAATATATATTGAATTTTAAATATCATAATAATTTAAATTCTACTTCAAATGTAAATTTATTTTCTACACTATAACTACATATATTTCTTCTTCACCAAAATACTGAAATTGTTTTGAGATATGAAGAAGTATATTTCTGCTCAACAGAAAACTTAAACAGAAGTTTGCAGAAATGCGAGTCGAAAGTCAATAAACTTGCCCTAAGTAGATAGACCTTAATGGTTTCAATTTTGCATTCCACAGCCAAAACATTCCTGTTATCCTCAACATACGTTATCAATTGAAGCTTCCACTAGTGCAACCTTGAGTAAATAAGTCATTGACCCAATGTAACCTTGAGTAGAGTCAATCAATAGCATGTACTGACCCGATAGCTTTTCTCAAAGGCAAATTATAACCAAAATTGATTATAGTTTAAAGCAGTCATACCTGGATATGGTAGTATGTTGGAAGAAATCATTTTGAAAACAATCAACACATTCTGAACTGTGGATGTGAGTTAACGAAAATTCTACTGGCTCATACAATATTTAATGACCACTTCAGCTTTACTGCTTTCTAAATTTAAATTGATAATGGCAGATCCAAGGAGGAACCCTGCTGCGCTTTTTTTCCAAGAAATTGTTCTCTTCCCTACCCTCTTTTAACAAACCTGAGATGAAAAAAAAATATAAGCGAAATAAGGCCCAAATCTCTATAAACAAATCAAGGAATGTAGAGTTCAGTATATATATCACTATAATCACAATTTTCATAAAAATTGAAGTCTCCTCAGTATCAGAATTCTTACATGATCAGATGGAACTCTCACTACTTTCACAATAAAAGCTAAATGAAAAAATAATATATGGTATCTAAGTGATCTTGGACTATTTCTGGTGCTCTACAGAACCCTACCATAATGAACGATGCAACATGTTTATATGGCCCCATAAATTAACCTGCATGATGATTAAAACAATTACGTACTTTCCTGTAACATATATGGCGATGTGTGCAGTGATGATACCTTCATTCATTTTTAATGAATCAAATGATTAAATGGTTGGTGAATATATCTAGTTAAAGATTAGAATTTTTACTTGGTATTTATAAAAAATCTTGACTCTTTGGGATGTTTTAAAGTTATTTGATACAGGAAAAATAATCACACACACAATAAGAGTACATGTTTAGCTATTGTTATTATAAAATGAAATTTTGTTGTCATTCAGGAAATTTTTTCATTTTACTGGAGTGATAATACAATTGAAAATGTTTTAGAGTCATGACATTGCTCTGATTTGGAACTGAAAAAATTTTGATGCAAGACCAACAGGCCTATCTTGTGCAGCAACATCAAAGAATTTAAAAATTGTAAGCAACAATCTGAATTTTTTTTTTACGTTTTTGCAAAATAAAATTCTACTTTGTATTTCATCCACTTGAACAATTTCATATTTCAGAACATTTTCATTAAAAAAAACAAACCACATAATGATGATCTATAATGATAAAAATGGAACTTTCATGACCTAAGCCTATGTTAGTAAAAACAAACTTTTCAATGAGAAATTCTCAAACAGCTTCTGTACCAGTGAATTCTTTCACAAAAGTTTTCAAAATTTTGATAGTTCAAGATTTCAATTATTCAAAAGAAGGACTGTTTTCTGTCAAAATTTCTAAACTTTGAAAAAAAACAAGATGCATTCATAGTCAAGATCTTTATACTTTGACGTCATTTTTACACAGATTTTAACATAAGAATATAAAAGCACTCCTGACACTTAAAGCTCTGAGACAAAGACTTGTTATACACAAACAGACTTTGCCATATGTTCTATATGCAACATATGCAAATATATTGTATGCATACATCTATATATATGTACAACACATTAATTTATTAATAATTTTTCTCTTGTATAAAGCACATGCATACATTAGCCTCGTTAATTTTTTGGCAGTCACGAGACTTTATATGTTAACCATTATTAGCTGTATGTATTTGTCAAATACAATCAGTTGCCAACTGTCAATCCTTCCACATCAGAGGTGAAGGAGTATTTTAACGAATTATCAATTAAAAAATCAATTTATATGAACTTGTATAATTAATTTCATTGTGGTCATTAAATGCTTACATTTTAACTTTATTTTCAATGTTTCATCTTCTTAAAATTGCTTTTGAAATTTTGAATTCTGATCAACTGTAACAAAAATATGGTGTGAATCTAATATTTCTCACAACTTGAGTAGGTTATCATGCGATTATAGTGTCAGGCTGACATGACAAAATCTGAGGAGCTTTCAGCTCTAGATGTGCATATATGGCCTTCAGATTCATCCAAAATATTTTGAATACCATAATTGTGTAGTAGAAATTTTATCTATACACAGGTCGCCTGTCCATGTGTTAACACATAAATATTGATGGAGCTTGTAATTTAAGTAAATGAATTGCAATCCTGAGTTTACATCCAGCCATCAGAAGTAAATTTCAGTATTAGTCTCCATATCTGTCTTAACCATGAGAAAACATACCAACTTTGACCTGACATACATATATCACTAAGTGAATATGTAACACATATCACACTGACTACTTGAAGACAGCAGGGTTTTTCAAGGCTTTGACTGTTGTTATGAACAACCTTAACCCAACTTTGTAGTAAATGGTACAATCCAGTTTGTAACATATTACATTTAATAATCAGAGCCACTGTTTTATCAAAGACATATTGTCACATATCTTTTGTTTCTTGAACAACAAAACAATATTTTATCAGAGAATATGTTGAAAGTGAAAAATTATACATTTCAAACTCAAACTTGTATAAACTCTTATTAAACATTATTGAAGCATGGTTTTAGATTCTCAGATTTTCCATGTACAAGATGTAATGTTATATTACTTGAACTATAATACGAACTTTCTTCCTATCAAGTTTTCAAAGTAAAAGAAAAGACACTTATTAACCAGTGTCGATGAAGTGTCAAGTCAGGTACATTGTTTTTCAGGTCAAACCCTGTGGAATGGCTGTTCTGTATGAATGGCCAGTGTGTGCTGTTTGGGGACAATGATCACTGCCCTTATTACGACATTGCAAGGTGAAAGTTGACTGCTTCATGACCTTGTCAGAGCAAAATTTGCTTCTTTATGTCCATTCTGTGTCATGTGCAACTGCTAATTGATCTTTTGAGGTCAAAGTATATATATATTCTCTTGCATCTTGTTGTGGTCATGGAAGAGCAACTCGTGACAATAACTTGTCACGGGTTCTATCGGTGTTAGTGTACCGCCTGAGGCTGACTGCCTCGCATCCTCCCAAAGAGCCTTCGTATGGAAGACCTGAAGCCACGACCTTCGTCAGGCTGTGCTGAAAAAACAAGATAGGATACAGACAGATGTTTTTCTCAACACATAGGTTAGTATGTTTTTTTCTATATAATTTGTTAAAGCATCTCCGTGGGTGATGGATGGATTGATTGATGGAGCAATATAGCTCCCTCTGATTATACTGGTGGGCCTGGCTCTTACAAGATTACATAAGTATATATCAATGATCTCTGATAGCTCGACTGTATTGCTATGTAACAAATGATAAAGCTATGTAAGATCAATATCAGCTGGTGAAAAATTCTCACAGGATATGGCCACAACAAACTATAATTTACTACTATATAATGCATATGATATTTGACCACTTGCTGAGACAGGGAAAGGTTGAAGGATATCATAGAGTTAAAATCTGTTGGGTATTCATTTCAGAAAATCAAGCAAAAAGATAATTGCTTTTTCGAAAATGGTACTGGCTATTTTAAGTCATATCTGTAAACAACTTTTATTGTGTGTTAATTCTAAAGTGCATTATGCATTTTGTCAACTGGGATACATACCCATATAATATTATTATCTTTGTGTTAAAACTTTAGAGCTGAGACTTACATTTAATACATGAGTAAGTTTGGGGTTGAAAGCAATTAATATTGTATTGAGCACATCTGATAAAAATGTGAGAAATATGGGTGGGCTTATTACCAGACATGAACTTATCTGTGGATAAATGTGGTAATTTACAAATCAATGATGTAACTACAACCACATCTAGCCGTCAAGCCTAGCCATTCAGAAACAGTATCGGGACCATTTACTGTAGGCCCAGCCACAATTACCAGATTAACAGATTGGGGGTGCCAGAGCAGTAGACCTAACAGCTATGTGTAGTTTTGTTTGGTGCTGTGCTGATAACCTTGTGCACACTCTGGCACTACACAGATCAATGATCCTGGACACCAGAGATTTGAAAGCAGGCACATCTGACGCTAGTCTTATATACAGTAAGGTGCTGAGGCGATGCTCACCCCAAACTAGTCTAACATGAAGTGGCAACACCTAACCTCAAACTAGTGTACACAAATTGGAGACACCTCACCAAAATTAGAACAGTGGTACTAAAGAGACATCTCTCCCCACACAAGTTCATTGTATAGTAGTATCAAGGAGACACCTCACCCCACACAAGTTTATTGTACAGTAGTATCAAGGAGACACCTCACCCCACACAAGTTCATAGTACAGTAGTATCAAGGAGACACCTCACCCCACACAAGTTCATTGTACAGTAGTATCAAGGAGACACCTCACCCCACACAAGTTCATTGTACAGTAGTATCAAGGAGACACCTCACCCCACACAAGTTCATTGTATAGTAGTATCAAGGAGACACCTCACCCCACACAAGTTTATTGTACAGTAGTATCAAGGAGACACCTCACCCCACACAAGTTCATTGTATAGTAGTATCAAGGAGACACCTCACCCCACACAAGTTTATTGTACAGTAGTATCAAGGAGACACCTCACCCAACACAAGTTCATTGTACAGTAATATCAAGGAGATACCTCACCCCACAAAAAATTATTATAAAGTAGTATCAAGGAGACACCTCACTCTACTCATATTGATAATGGTATACCGGAACCTTCAACAGGTTCAATATCTGATTTTACCCCAACCCCTCCTCCTTAGTAAGTTCCCCACACAAGTTTATTGTATAGTAGTATCAAGGAGACACCTCACCCAACATAAGTTAACAGTACAGTAGTATCAAAGAGACACCTCACCCCACACAAGTTTAGTCAAGAAAGAAAGGACTCATTTTCTTACCTGCCTCAGGAGATTCACTGTTGAGTGCGAACAGACCTGTTAATAGGGAAAAAATGTAATATGAATACATTGAAACACCTGTAAACTATGGAATCAACCAATATACCAATATGATTGCAAAAAAGTTCTATAAATTCCAGTCTGGGACTGCAAGTTCCAACATACCAAATCAGTCAGACAGTAAGTCCATGCCTGGTTAATAAGCAAATTCACATAAACTGGTGTTTGTTCATCCAGTTAAAGGACACAAGTTTATTTCCTTGTCCTGTAAAAAGCCCAGCTTCATATTTTCAGTCAGATGACTTGTATATTAATATCCTGGTCTTATCGATGGATGTATACGGTAATCCAGGACTTTTACCCATCAACCTCATATAAGCGACCCCTTTGTTACCGCTCTCTGATGATGGTCACTGGATTTTAGGATCATTTCATGTCAGTTTATCTGATTTATTAACAGTATTATCAAAAATAAGAATTATCAAGTTGTATTATTTTTAAAAAAATACATTTTACATGTCTTATAAGTCATGTTGTTTGTGTAAACAATTTCAAAACAAAAATATGCAAACCAATCTACCAAGGGAAATTTGAAATTGAAATTTGAGAATGAGTGACAATAAATTACTGTCTAAATCCACAATGGCTACCTGAGTGCGAGGCAGTTGACTTTTTTTCTAATCAATCTCTAAATTAAACTTTCACGACTGGGGACCAAATATGATCTAAACATTTGATTCTGAAATATGAACTCAAGTAAATAATTATTGCACCATCATAAAATTACAATAAAATATATATGCCAAAAAGTAGGCTGTATATTTACATAATATTATCATGAAAAATTTCCTTGCACCAGAATGCTTCATGATCAATCTGGTTCAAACTCCTTACATGCTTTCAGGAGAAGTAACCTTGAATATGAATTATGTATGCATTTGCTCTGCCTCGATGCATTACGATTTTATATTTATGTAAAAAGAATGTAAATATGTCATGGAAAAATTCATATATATGTAACACTAGGTCAAGTGACCTTTATTACAGTGTATTTCATCTGAATCTCATTGTAATACACTGATTTATATGCCGATTTGAATGTGTCACAAATAGATCTTTGAAGAACTAAATGTCTTGTTTACTAGACATGATGCCCCACACTCCAACGCATGTGAGTACATGTTGAGTCTCTGGTTCTCAAGATATCGCATAAATTTGAAATGAGATATGATGGAACAGGTTTCTACATGCCCTTTTTATAAAATGACTCGGCATAATGAAAAATCTCAATAATTGAAAGCACAATTATGATGTTAAAACATAAACATTATGTTTAAACAAATGGTCTTGTGGTCCTGTTATACACAATGCTTTATATATTACATAAACTAGTGTAAAATATCCTAACAGACTTCAATAAAGTTGTTTGCAAAAGCAATGCCTGTTACAGGATAATATCATTTGCTGAAACATTCATAACTTGAGGTAATTCAATCATTTTGGTGCTAAATTTATGAGGTCATCATATATTTGTGCTAATACTAAATCCCCAGACACGATAATCATCTGTCCTCTTAAATATACAATCTAAGTCTTTATGAATAATGGCCAGAGATTATGAGACCCATTATAGTGTTAAATAAATCAGTGTTAAGCAATCAACAAGCAAGTGCTTATATAGTTTTGAGGATCCCATCACTCTAAAATTTGGAATCTCCTATACATACATATGTCCTGTTATTTCCACCACAAATATGATGTTTATAACAAACTAGCTTAATTTCCTTTATATGATAAATAATCTTACATTCTGATTGCCCTAATCATACTACAATTTTTTCCCCATCATTGTTTATTGCGATGTTAATGGATGAATGAGCAAGCATGCTGATTGAATCATCAGCCGTGCTATAAAATGCCCCATGGGAAGAGTAAGAGATGTGATTAGCTATTTACTACAAGTTATCAATAATGGAAAAACTGCCAATGATTGTCTCACCTAATATAGCTATGATTGCTTTGTCTTCATCATCTTTTATCAGATTTTTGATAAAACCTGCAACCTGAAATAAAAATGAAAATAAAACATTAAATATGTCAACAAAACTTAAGTCATATAAATTAAACTATAGATGAGATTTGTATTATTTCTTTATTCTAAATAAAGAAAAGTTTAAACTTTAAATATGTTCAAGTTTTTCCTTTAAAGGAGAATTGGGGTCATTGTTTTTATGCCTTTGGATTGGAAGAACAGTACAGGGGAATATTGTTTTTATGTTGTCTGTTTGTTTGTCTGTTGTCAACTTTAACCTTGCCCATAAATTTTTCACCATAAGAGGTAGGGCTTTCATATTTGGCATGTGTGTTTCTTTTGACAAGACCTTTCTAGTAGTACCTCCATTCAAAAAATTGTGCATGCAGTTTTAATGACCCATTTCAGAATTTTGTTGCAACCAGGGGCATAGTATTTCATAGTGTTGCAATGAATTATGGTATGGACTAAGAAAAGATCAGCTTCTCACAAGCAAGATTTGTCACAGAGTTTTTACTGAGAACAGTGATTTGTGGCAAACTCCTATAGATAGAAATTTGTATTTTACAGGTGTGATTGGAATGGTTAAGAATGTAGATCAGCAACCTGGCTTGCAGTATCATTATAAAAAAGGCAATATTTGATAAATATAGTTATCAGACCAACCCATATGTTTGCCAAAACTGTACTTCAAATGAGTAGGTATTACACAATGTAAATCTCATCAAGTGGCCTATGGGCCTTACCGGTCATTTGGCTATAAAGACCTATATATGACACTTGGGCCTTAACATTCATCTGGCTATAAAGACCTATATATGAAAGTGGCTAAATAGGCCTAAATTGCCAACTACTCTACAGCTTAAAAAGAAGCCCTTTTGGTAATAGAAAAGAAGTTGTTTTAAAATTTCAACATATCTGATCGCATGATCTTGAAAGTTGCTAAAGGTCAGTCACTTTAACTAAACAGCCCTTTTATCCTAGCATGTACAGGCCTAATATCAGGCATTCTGGATCTTTTGGTTATTGAAATTAAGTTGTTAAAACATTTGAACATATACGACCTTGTGACCTAGAAAGTGGGTCAAGGTCATTTATTTCAACACAATTGGTAGCTCTTCATCCCAGCATGCTTCAGGCATAATATCAACACCCTAGACCTTTTGGTTAGTGAGAAAAAGTAACCCAAGTTTTTTTATTACATATTTGACCCATGTGACCTTTAAAGTGGGTCAAGGTAATTTCTTTCAACAAAATTGGTAGCCCTTCATCCCAGTATGCAAGGTGCCAAATATATGAACCCTGGGCCTTTAATTTTTTGAGAAGAAGTTGTTAAAAGGTTTTAACATATTAGACCTGTGTGACCTTACATCATTTATTTTAACAATTTTGATAGGTGTTCATTCTAGCATGTTACAGGTCCAAAATCAGCACACTGAGACTTTAAGTTATTGAGGAGAAGCTGTTTAAAGATCTTGATATATTTGACACCTGTGACCTTGAAAGTGGGTCCAGATCAATAATAGGAACAAACTTAATAGCCCTTTATCCCAGTTTGCTATAGGCCCAATATCAGCACCATAGGACTTTTTGGTTATTGACAAGAGTTGTTTAAAGATTTTAACATATTTGACCACTGTGACATTGACAGTATGTCAAGGTCATTCAGATTGATAACCGTTTATCCCAGTTTGCTACATGCCAAATATAAGAACCTGAGCTTTTCGGTTATTGAGAAGAATTCATTTGAATGGAAAGTGTATGCACATTGACAGCACATACCAGAAGAAACAAACACAATCCCGACCTCATGAATTGTTCAACACTTGAACATAGAAAGACTCTGAAAATCTTGTTTCCTTTTTTGTAGGAAAAAGAGTATTTTTTTCTTCAAAGATATGTAATCTCTCAACCACTGCAAATCAAAGAATATTTTGACAGAGTATACACTACACAGCATAGTTCTATTAGGCATATTTCCTTCCATTACAGAAACACTTGAAAGCAACACTTCATACCATAGACTTAAAAGCAACACTTCATACCATAGACTTAAAAGCAACACTTCATACCATAGACTTAAAATCAACACTTCATACCATGGGACTAGAATGCAACACTTCAAACCAAGCAACACTTCAAACCAGAAATTTGAAAGCAACACTTCATACCATAGACTTAAAAGCAACACTTCATACCATAGACTTAAAATCAACACTTCATACCATGGGACTAGAATGCAACACTTCAAACCAAGCAACACTTCAAACCAGGAATTTGAAAGCAACACTTCATACCATAGACTTAAAAGCAACACTTCATACCATAGACTTAAAATCAACACTTCATACCATGGGACTAGAATGCAACACTTCAAACCAAGCAACACTTCAAACCAAGAGTTTGAAAGCAACACTTCATACCATAGACTTAAAAGCAACACTTCATACCATAGACTTAAAATCAACACTTCATACCATGGGACTAGAATGCAACACTTCAAACCAAGCAATACCTCAAACCAGGAATTTGAAAGCAACACTTCATACCATAAACATGAAAGCAAGACCACATACAATGTATTTAACAGCAACACTTCCTACCATGCATTTGATAGCAACACTCCATACAAAGCCACTTGAATTTATATAATAACACTCCACTTAACACCACTTGACATCTTAATTACAACGTCACCTGACACCCACTGTTTGTATAGGACCTTTTAGATGACAGCTTTGTTTAAGACTCTTTAACATTATTTAATATTTCATACAATAGATCGCTTGATTCTGAAACTTCATACAAAAACACTTGAACCTGACACTTCATATAAAGCCAATGCTACAATGCCAATGTGAGTCATCAATGTTGGAACTCCAGCACAGTAAATCACGCACAACATGTATTGAGCTTAATTAGCTAGGCCTGGAACACTAACTGCCATGGCACACTGCGATACTGGTAGTAAAAAGAGGATTGATCGTACAGCAAGTGACAAGAAGGAATGGGATATCTACAGGAATGGGGTCATCCTACTGAGGGTGAATGAAATAATGTGACAGAAAAAAATCTTTTTTTCTTTCCCAGTTTTTACAGTATTGTCACCTTATCTTAGTAAAGTTTGCATTTTACTTGCTATATTTAATATTTGTATCAGTATGAAATATTATACAGATTAAAGGAAACGTACTGGTATAAAAGAACAGGTGTCAATAAGGTTATTTCCTGTCCTTTTGGCTTCACATTATCAATATATTAATTGGTGTAAAGGAAACGGTTATATGGAGTAGAAAACATTGATTATTTTAGGCTGAGGAAATTATACTTCTGAGAGGCAAGATCAATTCCAGTGATGATGGTGTCCACAACATTATTACTATAGCCATATCCTTTTCCCCTCAAACAAATTTACAAAATAAAGGCAGATGAAATAACAAAACTCATTTGAAAAAAGAGAAGTGGTCATTTGAAGATTTTGACACATTTTACCTCTTTATAGTGGGTCAAGGTTACTCATCAGAACAAATCTGGTACACCTTCAGCAACAATTATGGCCTAAAATCGCTCATCTACAGCTAGGCAAATGTTTATAGGAGTAACACCCTTGTATAACATAGACAGGGAAATATCATGAAGGAAGAGATTTTTGAGGTTCAGCACAACAATAACACTTACAACAGATAACAGAGAAGATGGAAGAAGTACTAGAACATACATGTAACACTAAAAGTCAAAATATAGTATTCTGTCATTGTCCTCATGGTATACAGTGAACGGAGACATAAAACAACATTTCCTTAACAGAAACTAGAAAACATAAGACATGTTAGAAAATAAAGATTAAGATGAAGCTGAAATCTACCTGGTTTTCTATCTGTGTTCTCATGGCACGCAGTAAAAATTTGGATACAAAATGACAAAGTCCAGCAGATCCGCCATGAAACTTTGCTTTAATTTTGCCTATTTTACACTCTATACGCCCTTGTCGTATAAAGGCCACAATCACATCTTGATCCACATCTCCTGGATTTATGGCGGCTTGCTGCTGCGACACTGAATTGTAATTTCCTGACAAATAAAATGATAATCAAGTTTAAATGCTGCTCTGTAAAAGTCAAAGGTATAACATTTGGATTACACAAGAAAACTTCAGAAAATTGGAAATGTCAATATTGATTATTTCTTTGGAAAAATGTCATTTCTTCATTATGTTCTATCATCAACAGATTCCCACCTAGGTGTTTCTGACAGCAAATATCCTGAAAAAATAAATCTAGAGCATTTACAACTGAGAAAAGAGAATTTAGTTATTTATGACTTAAGTTTAAATTTGTAATAAGCCCATAGGTCATGCAGCACATCAAGTTGGACTTAATTAAGAAGACTGTTGGGTTACTGCAGGGCAATGAAATAGAAGGTTTTAATTTCTACTGGACATTTGATATAGACATAGGTAGCGTAAGATTATTACTAGGCATAGGACCTTATAGGTAACTATACAACTTTTACAAATGTTCCTTGTCTTAAATTTTCAAGATTTGCATTTTTCTTTAATATTTCAAATTATACATTTATAGAGATTAGTGTTGTTTTGTGCTGCAGAATGTTCAAAATTTACAGTTGTGCACACCATGTATGCACGATGTGCACAACATAGGAAAACTTGACAAGATCAACCATCGCACATCTGTGTGCACATTTTGTGGTAAAGCCAACTATCTATGTATCTATATATGTAACCAAGTAGAAATAACCAACAAATACCAATTCATTATAACCTACAAACAAGACCTGAATGGATTATAGCATCAACCATACAAATTAGTATGACCTTATTTGATCTTTTAATTAAAAGTTAGGTATTTTTTCTTCTTTTCTTTCTCTTTCCTATTACTTTCTCATAATTATATGAAATTTTATGACAATTCTCTTAAGAAATAGCAATAATCATGTAACTGTCAGATCCAAGATGGCTACCTGACTTCGTTTCAATCTGCCCCAATTTGAGAACGATTACACAGTTATTACAATTTCTCTATATTCACAATCATTCACTTTCAAAATCAAAATTGCCATCAGTCGACCATTTCATTTTTCAGCCCAGTCTCAAGATCAATTGCATACATTATGGACAAATTGGAACCAAAATTATATAAAATGAAAACAAACTCCAAAATCCATTAAGATGAACGTTTGTTAGTCATTACATTCTCGAATCAGTCTCAAAAAAAAAAAAAAAATTGCGACAACTTAGGACCAAGAAAGTCCATCCAGTACTTCTTAAGAAATACTCATCACAAGAATTGTTTAAGGACATATGACAGATGGATGTGGTCCTTTGTGTGATGATGTGGGCAAAACAGTATCCATCACTCACCATGAGTTATCATATACCTAGAAAGACAGTGAGTTTATGTTTGGCTAATTGGAACTCCTGGGTGTATTGATGGATAAACAGTAAAGGCATTGGTAAAATATCACAAAAGGGCATGACATTTACAGCCCTGACAAGTATTTCTCATAAAACATTGTAGTTTATGAACTTTCTTGGGATTAATACTTACGGGATGGAATTTGTCTAAAAATAATTGACAGCTCTGTCATATGTACTTCAAAGTCTCCTTCAGCAAAATGTGTCATGCTGGAATAAAACATGAAAATATTATCAATAATAGGACTTTTCTTGTGTAAACACCATCAAATTTCACTTTCTGGGAAATTCGTGCCTTGATAAATTAGCACATTCAATATGATTGCTAGATTTTTAACATGTACATATTCCAATTAGCACAATCTTATTTTCGCTCAATATTTTCAGCTCAGAAATGACTAAAATAAGATTACTGTTAAAAGATGTACTTTAACAGTAAATTCGATTTCAATACTTTATGAATGAAGCACTTATGTAAATGTGGTTTTCCTCAATGCTGAATGGTTCAAATTTTCATTTTTCGTAGAAATTATGAAATTGACAATACTTTTTTTTTCTTTACCAGTTATTCATATAATCAACGCATCTATGCTTGGCAGTTTTATTCTATCTCTGAAGATGGTGAAAAAAGAACCCTATAGAAAAAAGCAACTTTTATCGAATCTTAAAAAATGTAATTTATTTAGATAAATGTTAACTTTTATCATGTGCAGGCACTTTAAGTTTGTTAGTATATCCTTTTAACAAATCATAGAGTTTATACAGTAACACATTTCTAGTATGATAAGATAGGGAGACAAAACAATGATGGTTTATCATATTTAACAGCTGCACCAGCTAAGATTTGGATTTCAAATTACTTCTGGATTTATTACAATGCCTATGATTGTTTTCCTGAATCTAAACAAGCCATGTTACTTTCTCTCTACATGTAGCCAATATCTGCAGTAAAATATGTAATTCAATGAATTGATTAAAATACATAGATTTACCACAAGTAAGTTGACAACTTAATAAAATAAGAAACAAATTATTTATCTTGAGCCTACAAATTACAGACACACATTTATGGTAAATTCAAAAATTCCCAATACTGTATTTGGTATATATATACATATATGTAGTAAAGTGGGCACTTTGAAACATAAGGTAATTTAAGTTATCAAGTACAATGTATAAATGTAGCATGTTTCCATCCTTCTTAAATGACAAATGATAGTATTGCTATGGGTTAATATACCAGGTATATAAAATGCATAAAGATTTCCAAGCCAGTGTGCATTTGATATATGTACAATGAAGGAACCAATCAGATATCAAGTTGATCTATTAGCATTGATTTGTTTCCAAATACAAGCATTGACAATCCCACTTAATACATCAGTTTCTCTATTGGCGTAAAGTACATACATTAATACATTTATATTACTACAAGAAAATGCTTTCAGCGCTAGGAAACACAGCCATCATCTCTATAAATCCGATAATGACCCTTGTGGTTACAATGCTTGCTTTATATCAAATATTATTGCCAATATACTATGTGACGTCCACTGATGGCATCCTGGAGCTCAAAGTTTAGCTGTCAAAATGATGTGTTAATCCTGTATAGCTGATAATCCAATACACTTACAAGGAATTATACTGGAAGACATATTTTCCTATAATAGTCAGCGCCCCTCTCTGCGTGAACAATGCCTCTGGGTAGAGGGATGCTCGTGGCAGCTTGGCACTGGTCAGACGCATCCTATAAAGGAAACAGAAATCCAATTAGGATCACTGAATTTAATGGCCTTTTACTTGGACAGCGCTAAGTGCTAAAATAAAAATAAAGCAATAAAGAAATCAGCTCCACATTGTCTTAAAATGTTTTCTCCTGACAGGGAAACTGTTAATCAATTTCCAGTATTTATCTTGATATAAGGACCGCTGGGGTGACATACTCTAAACACAAACATACAGCAGGTTGTCTGTTTACTGGCTTGCAATATAAATGAGTCAGTTTTTTCTAGACATGGGTTTACATTGTTCAATTATATATGGTACATGTATCTGTATTTCAAATAGGCTTGAGTACTGCAGGGAGGAAACCAGATGTTATTGTCTTATGCTGAAGAAATATTCATTATTTATTGCATAAAAAAGAATAAAGATATGTAAATGGTAATAATAAGTCAAAGCATTAAGCAAGAAAACAAGTATCAAAGAAATTGGTTAAAACCTGAGAAAAGAGATATCTGTACAAGATAAAACAAAACAAAAGAAATGGCTATTGCACTTCCCAATATTGTTAGAATATCAATGCAATGTATAGTAAATGGTTTTAATAAAATCTACAAAGTTTCAGAAACATTTGTGTAAAATCTGACAGAGATCTTTGCACAAAATTAAAATGTTAAAAAATCAAACCAAAAATTGTTGAATTTAACTTCCGGTTAGGAAAAGAATTTCATGTCATTGTTGCAACAGATCCCACCAAGTTTGAAAGAAATCAGTTGAAAACTGAGACTGCATGAGGAAATCTCTGGACTCAATATTGTGAACACAACAATGAGTAGTAACTATTCCAAATATGGTAAAACCAAAATGCTCCTCAAAATGAGGAAAACACAACTCCATGTTATGTTGATTCAGCCCACCAAGTTTAAAAATGATGAGTGATCACTGCATAATAAAAAACATTATGAAAACAACAAAGAGCTATAACTTTTCCAAATACAATTCAATCACACTGCTGTTAAGGAGAAAAACTTCATGTCATAGTGATTAAGCCTACAAAGTTTGTCAAAGATTGGTAGAAAACTGAAAAAGGACTATAGAGCTCTGGACAAGATTAACATTATGGAAACAACAAGAGGCAGTAATTCTCCCAAATAAAGTCAAATCAAATTACTGGTTTGATTTAGAAAACTTCAAGTCATAGTGATTAAGTCTGTCAAGCTTAAAAAAGACCTGTTGAAAACTTTGGGAGCTGGGAGATCTACGCACAAAGAAATGTTTACGACAGCCAGACAGATGAATGAAGGTTGTCGGAACACTGACATTTGTCAGCGAGACATCTACTAGAAATAGGACAAGTCCAGAAGATAAAAAACCTGTAACCAATCGACCAACCAACCAAGGACAAATGGATGGACAACGCCATACCGTAATGCGTCACATCTAAATTTTTGACAGGCACATAAAAAGCATTTCAGCGATTCTGAGCCCAAACTGTAACTGAAAATTAACCTATTGATGTTTTGTATCACAAATCTGGTTCCTTGAAGTATATATGTCAAAATGAATAAACAATAGTTTTTTCCATTTAGAGAAGAAAATGGATTGAAATATCCTTCTTTTGAACATTTGGATAAAAAAGATTTAATTACTCAAAATATGATTTCTCTTTGTAATTAACCAAAAAACCTCAAATCTTCTCAATTAAAATCAACAAGAACACGTCGACATAATCCAAACTTTAAATTCAATAAATAAGGGGAAAACATGAACCAAAGAAAGATTTACACAGAGACTTCTAAAAAATACAAAAAAAGTAATTAGCGTCTTCTGCTTCATTGACAGCATCCACCATGTAAAACTTTGGTCATTCCAAGTAAGTGATGTCACATTCTCAGAATAGAACAATGTATGCAACAACAGAACCAACAGGCAAACCAACAAGCATCAAACATGTCCAGCTTCATATCACAAAAAGTAGGAAATAGAATATTATGATGACTTTAAAATTATTCAATAATGTTCATCAACCTGCATCTTTTGAAACCCAGTGGTATGAGTTTGTCAGTTGATGACCTCTTGCACGAAAACCATGGTATTTATTAAACTCAATCATTTTTGTGTCTTATTGCAACCTCACAAATCGTAATCAACTCAGTGTAAGATCAAACCTTTACACTGGAGGTAGACAATTTCACTGACATAACTGCAGACTCTAAAAGTGCAGAACGTAATTAATGATATGTTTATAGCATGTCCCGTATCAGACAGCTTTCTAGACAGAATCATATCAGTAATAAAATCTATACAATAACCGGCTGGTGAAATATGATCAAAGACCAAGAATTAAGTCTCAATTAAAGTCATGATGCTTCATGAAATCTTAAAATTATTCCCATATATACCGCACCCACGCCAACGTACATGATTTTCTCTGTGATCAACTGACCAGAGGGACCTAAGGGATGACTGATGCCTCTATGGCATGTCTATAATATATGTTGTTCCCACTAGGTGGGGTAGGCTCTTTACCTTTACATAGGTTCATCCAGACGCATAGTTAACTTTATCAAAGTTATAATTCAATTTTTTTGGTGATGAAAGATAATAACATCAAAATTATGATGATACACTGAAAAAATATGAATTTTAAAAGTACAAGTTAATTTTTTTTCATTTTATCTATTTATTTATTCACCTTTTTATTTATTTATTGTTTACTCTATCAAGCCTCTTAGTATTGATATATTCAACAAATTACATATATAATCAGATTAGATTGAAAAAAAAGATGTAAGATGTTTTATCAAGCTTATACTGCTTAAAAGAAAAAAAAATCAAGATAGATGCCTGGAGGAGAATGATATCAACACTTTAATACACTGGTCTGGTCCACTACCATAAATAGGTCTCTAATGTAATGATAGCTTGAGATCAGTGGATCAACTTGTCAACCTTATAGAGATAAAACCTATCAAAGGACCTCCATCCTCATGTATCAGCTACCACTACTAACCTAATAAACAATGATTAATGATGGACTTCGACCTCTCTGTTAATGTTATTTCTAGACCAAAGATTGATATAGGAATCCTGAGAGTGTTGTTTATCAGGTCAGGTGATTATATCCTTAATTCTTGAGTGAAAACTTATTTCCTTTAACTTTTCAACGAAATTTTGACTGGGTATGAAAAGAAAGGATTCATTTGAATCAAATATAAAGAATGTCTTTAAGACATCAGTGCACTGGTTCCAAGTATTTTAAACGTGTTATGTCATAATGACAAATTCATTTGATAAGATAAAAACAACGTTGGAGCATTCATTGACCTTTAGATCATAATAGAATTCCAAGTATTGTTATTCCAGATAGTTATTCAAATAGTAATATCTAGTCAAAAGGTGTTAAGAAACTTAATTGCTAATTATGTGAGCACATGTAGATTAGGTTGAATTCCTACAAAATGTAACATTAACCTTTGATTCCTAAGTCAATGAAGCATGTTAAAATGTTGACTTTTTGAACACAGACAGCAGTATGAAAAAGGTGATAAAAACGCATGATACACTATTTCAAGGATGCAAGGTTCTCTGATAAATGGTCCTACTTCCCCCATGATGCAGCTGCACAAATGAGTAACAACACTTACATGAAGTATTTTTGACAAAGACGTTTCACTTAGAGACATCAGTTTGTACTTCCCAATGATACGTATAATACCATATTATCATCTTGTGCACTGACTGCCTTATTTAAGCAATATCAGAACCAACAACTTTAGAGTTTTTTCATCATAAAATTTATTCCAATACTTTAAACACAAACTCATCTAAGATATATTCTTATACTTAAAAACTGATATATGAAGTTCAATTAATGCATTATACCAGATCCCCAGTCCTCCATCCCCCCCCCCCCCCTCCCCAACCCCCAACCCCCAACCCCCCCGTCATCCCCTAAATATCCTTTCCCCAGTCCCATCTGAAAATATTTCCCTACAACATTTGTGATAAAAAGTCATATAAATTTGTTTTCGTATCTCATTTACATCATACGACATCACAAATTTTGGCTCAAGGTCATAATAAAACTATATCTCCCACAGCCATTTAGAATGTAACAATATTAAACTTGCTTTTAAAAATATGTCTTATTCCAAATTGGCTTAGAGTCTTATATAAAAAACATTCTGACAAACTTCTACTGAATAGTTTTTCAATATGCTACATGGAAATTCTGTCTTTTTAGTTTTAAATAGAATTTTAAATATAAACAACGCTTGACTGTTAAGAGTATTTTAGTGTCTGGGCTCATAAACATGTCGCCAATGCCGCAAGGGCTCATACAAACATTTTATCTAATTTTATGGAACAAGAATCCATTAAAATGCTTTTGGGAAATAAAACAACAGAATTGAAATGAATTCTATCCTTTTGTCGCCAATTAAATTTTCAAAAGTGGCGGGATAGAATTGTAGTACCTCTATAATGTGGTAAAAACCAGAAAGAGATTCTCATGAAAAACATATTATCTTGTTACGACAAAGACCTTGGGACAGGATAACAGGACGAAGATGTTAAACTAACGGTCTATACAAATTTCTATCACGGTTTATAAGGAACGGCAAATAAAAACAAGTTATGCCAGTAATTAAAACCGTCTCAAAGCCAGCTTACATTTAGCTTTGTTATAACAAGAGGATGTTTCTTTTCTGTTGTTGATAGCAAAGTCCATTTGTTTGCTTACAAAGCAAAATAAAAAAAACATCATACATTTTCTTTGGGCTCAATTTCTCTGAGTTTTAAAGAAAACCTTACTACGTGGACATTTGATTTGATGGATACATATGAATCCTTCTACGACAGGAACAATACACCTTTTTTTTACCACATTTAAGCCAACAGATATTGCTTATATTGTTAATTTAATACAGATCTTAGATCTTTTTGCATCAGCAACAAAATTTACGATTTTTCAATAAAAACTTTATGTATTAAGTCATGGTCATTCTTCAGAGATAGATTTTGTATTACAAGGAACTGATACCGGTTTTCAATTTTCGTCAAGTTTAACAAAAAAAATTATCACAAGAAGTGTTACTGCCTTTCATTGTTATATACATCACACGCCCACCATCTTGGTGGAGTAAGTCAAGTGTCAATTGAAATAAATGCAAACCTTCAGTCATTGATCTGCATTGAACCTCAATACTTCTTTTTTAAACACAGAGCGAAGGAATGGAAACCATCAAGCGCCGTAAGGGGCAGCCTTTGCACGGAAACACATGATTTCTCTCTCTCTTAGAAAGGTCAGTACTCCGCAGGAGTTTCAGCATCGTTTCCTCTCACCATTACCGGAGTAGTGCTACCCCATTTATTAAATCTAGCAGATTACGCTCAGATAATTAGCTCTGTAAGAGATTAGTGTTTTTTCTGTATTTGTATCAGAGTTCTCCTGCCATGAAACCTCATCCAAAATAATTTCTGCTGACAGAGGGGATATGTTTTTCATGAATTATACAATCTGTCATGAATTAATCGATACATTTGGAGTCAGACTTATCCATTTGTACCATTAGCAGAGAATGTTCCTAATGTAAACCTACAAATTGTCCATACATGTATTCTGATGTGTTCAGAGGATTTTTTTTTCACAGATTTAGAATCAGGTGAGAGGAGACAGTCTAGATGATCACAGCAATGAAAAAGGTAATGACTTGAAAGAGGAGACAAAGTTTGACAATTTTTTATGTCATGAAGGTCATCTAGAACATTCCAGTGAAGGTCAAAGTTACAGGAGTTCTAGATGACCTTCAACTGTGAAGGTCATGACTTCTAAAGAATGTTCCAGGTCACAGACATGAAGATTGTTATTTGCAAGTGAAGGCTAATGTGACTGGAATTACAGAGGACTCAAGATTTTGAAGGTCAAAACTGTTAAATTGATATCAAATGTTTATACAAAAAAAAAACTAAACACACGAATAGCAATATCAAATATAAGTCTAAAGTATAAAAAAAAGCATATATGTCTTCTTACTATTAAACTGCATCATAAAACCTTAAGTGTTAAAACCTAAAGGGGAGCCTCAAAGTGAGAAAGTACCAGATGACCTTATAACAGACGATAAAGGAAAAGGAAGGCGGATATTGGATGTCATGGCAGCAAGGTTTATGAAGTTATCAAAGTTGAAGATTAATCTTTCAGTGCAAGCAAGACGATAAAATCAGAATTCTTTGCATGTACATATTGATTCTGAATGACTGACCTCTGATATTCTATATTGTAGCCTCATGATTGAGTTCCATGTATACAGTGCTAAATCTGACTGTGTCATATGTTTGATGGATTAAGAACCTGGCACCTTCCCTAGTATTTAGCCTTCCCTGAAACGCATTAATCATACCACATTGCTTGATAAGAGTATGCATCCTTACATCCATTTCCCTATATGGGGCAGACATTAGGACAGTCAGGGTGAAGACATAGAACGGCAAGACAAATTAAAGGTCATATACATCGCACACTGAAAGGCCAGAGTGATACCAGTCGGCATGTGAATAGGATCCTAAGGCACTGTAGGTCATTCAAAGACTTACACTGCAACTTTTGGGGATATAGGCAGATTAATGTTGACTGCAGCTACAAAGGCAACATCAAGAATTGCTATGGAGGAATAACAGATTGGACAGGTAGAGCAGTTTGTAAATCTACCGTCATAACAAGACTAAAAAGAGATGATAGAAAGTAAGAGAACTGCATTAAAAGGATAGTTAGAGTTTTTTCATTAACCAGAACAATTTAGTTTAGATTCAAATAGATAAGGTTTGTGCAACAAGATCCTGAGGTTACGATCACTTCACACTCTGCAGAGATTGTCAGTGATCATAACCGCTGAAATTTTGAGTATGCAAGGATTCAGAAAGAACAAAATAAGAGGTCTGTGAGAGCTCCTTATCAGATGCCCATCATCATTTGATCTTTATTTGCTTTTTTAAAAAGTTCTATCTTTTCCTGTCTTTTCCCTTCTCTCTTCTCTGATAATTAAGATGACGGCAGGTTAAAAAATGAAAGAGGTTATTGCTAGATGCTAGAACAAAACAGCAAAACAGGTAGAAATAGTAAAATCAGTCAGAGATGATCAAGATGGATCTAAAGCCCAGGGTCAATTGAAAATGTTGAAAAGTGATTTGCAAGAGACATCATGCCCTCTCAAGAATAGAAACACATACAGCCATACATTGTAACATCCCAAATGTTGGAGGGCAGGGCAGAACATACAGAAAATACTCCAGGCATCTTAGTCAAACTTGGGCTTGTCACGATGCAAGACATATTGGTGAATAAATTTTGCAGGTTAGGTACTACACCTCCAGACGAATGTAGCTGATGAAGCATTACAACAAACCTCCAACGATGCACTTTATTCTCTCTGATAACCTAATTGAACTATTTGTTGTTGTGAAAGTCCTGATATAGCATTACATCCTCTCACTTCTGCTATCAAATAGTAATGAGTTCAACAACACATCAAAGTAACAAGCACCTGTGAACTTTAACATTAAGAAAGTTTATTGTTTGCTCCAGCAGGATTGAGTAATTGAAAAAGAGTAAAATACAATGTTCCTCCTACTCAGGTAAAATGAAATATTCTTTTGGCATTTCCATTGTACTTTAACTGCTCTTAGGAACAATATAAGATGGCTTTTGAGATTCATTAACATTTGAGAAAACAACAGCAGGATAACCATAGCTATCATGTGGAGGCAGGAGGCCTAGAATATCCCTTTTTTAAGAAACTGTTCTGTCTCATTAAATGTATTTCAGTGAGTTGGTGGGAAAATGATTTAGGTCCCTCCTTTTAAAAAAAATCCTGGATCTGTCACTGTTTTGTCTATTGATTTTTTGATAATTTCCTAATAATTAAATAACAGCCAGGGACATTTAAGGATGTGCCAGTTTTGGATGGTGGAGTAAAGGTGAAATTGCCTGAGAATAACTTTCAAATGTGGCCATAACCTAGTGACCGCTCCACATAGGCTCGAACCCACAACCCAGAGGAGGAGCACCACCAGCCCCTAGAGGACCATGACATTTATAATTATGGTGGGTACAAAATCTCTATCTTACATATCTAAGTATTGTTGAATGATCACTCTGTTTTCAGAGCAGGTTTTTATAAGCACAGTTAGTATATATCACAACGCCGTTCGATCACCAAAAGAATCAAACCAACAACTTTATTTGATGCTATAAATAACTGAATTATGATTCTGAAATACAGTTTTCAGTATGCAGAAGAAGCTATCTTACCCTGTGAGGCTATAGTTGAAGTTTCCATAGGCCCCTTCTTGGTTTGGAATGTTCTGCTGAAGCAAACGCTCCACCAGCTGTTTTAAGTGATAGCCAATACCTTCGTATTCTGAAAGGAAATTAATTTGTGATGTCAAACATTTCATTTTTACACCAGAGTTTGATTATAAACATTAAATTTCTGCTAAACATTTCCATCATTTATTTTTATATTCATGTCATAAAACCACTCAAAGTCTTAAATTTCCTTGTAAAAATCTTTTGAAAAATCAATGATTAGAAATTGTTGAATCATATGTTAATGACCATTTGTGAGACATCCTGCTATTAAATGTGTCTTTTTAATCACATATTTGAAACATTGGTGTGATGCAGGTAGTATTTTCCTAAATCTGCAGTATTGACACTTGCGTTGCATACTCTCTAGATGCCACCAATCAACTGCACTGTGTGTATACATCAGTATTTCCACACGATGCTTAAGCTTGCAGAGTTTACATAGCTTTTCATCTCACTTGAACATGTTTGTTCAAATCCCTAAATTTTTCAAAAACCTGCTTTTAAATGCAGTGAGATATGTAAAACATCTGTATGTATTATTTCATGATATATATATAAATATCAGTTTGAACATTATAAATGAAAACATCAATTCTATCATTTGCTCTTGAAACTATTTTTTTTTCATTGCATCATCAATGTAATTGTAATTAAAATTGTAACACTGTTTAAAATGAAGACTATATGTTGTTAAGTAATGCAAACAATATTAACTTAAAGCTTGTTAAACTGTATGTAAAATGTTGAAATTTATGAAATGCAAGTAAATTATATAAATAAAATAGGTGGGGTAGGTGAGATTTCACTGTATACTGAATGGCACTTCAAATCTGTTGATACCTATATGATAATACATGGTCAGTATCTTATAATATAGTGATAAGCCGTATTTTGCCGAGGGTGAAGAAAGACAAGTCTCTATAATCTCTCTTACCTGAGCAAACATGCAGCTTACAGTTTAAGACACTGATCACTTATTCTATCTATCTTGGAACTGTTGAAAATATTACAATGGAAACTGCAACAGTTTTGAGTTAAATCATTGTTTACTTGACAATGACATTTCGCCTTATTTTGCCTGATAATGGACACCAAAGAAATTGCTGAGCAGGAAAACATAGTTCCAAACTTCGACAGATGTTATAGCAATTTTTGATAACTTCTTTATCAAACTTGTTCATCAAAACATGATGAATCAACTATTTAAACAGTTATTCTTATATGTTTAAATGTGATGTAATATTTAAGTAAATTCATAAGGTAATTCAATCAAATTGATGCATATGCTAGAATACAGCTGTTTTCCATCATTGTCAAATACATCAATAATATATGTGGCAGGTGTATTCCGACAATTAAAACGCCAGTTTTAGAATAAAATTTTAGCTGTTTAACCTTTAATATCAATATAAAATGTAAATATATTTTCTGTATATACATCAAAGTGTAATATGTGGTTTACTCCAGTGTATTTAACACTTAATAGCACATACAAAAAATGAAATAAACCCATAAATATAGTCAGATTTATATGGGGGCAACAGTATATCTGTTTCAAAGCCATACAGCAGGCTTATTCATAGATCAAATTATTTGTTGTCAATTCCACAGAATAGCAATTATAGATAGAGTGGGCTTATTTAACCAGGATATTTAACTTACTGCGAAAAAAAAAAAAAAAAAGTATCCATGTTACCTGTTGTCATATTCCACTATAGGACTTCCAGTACATAGACCATAATTCCAACACCAGCGGGGCACGGCTTGTTTTAGGGGTCTGAAGGTCTAAACCTGATCACTGGTCATCTCCGAACCTGTACTACCTGCAACAAACAACGCCATTATTAATTTCTAATAAGAACACATTTTTCCAGAATATTTAACAGATGCATTCTTTCCCGCTCCCTCTGTAACAGGCCTCAGGAGCTTAAATGTCATACCTCTGACTCAAAGTCATGAGGCTGAATAGGGACAATGAATTAGCAAGTCTTAATAGTTATTCTTCAGAACAGCAATTTAATAGTATTTCTTATCTAGTCTATCATTTTCAGAGAGGTACCTATGTACAACAACATAGTCGTTTGATTGAAATAGGGCAAACACATAGTATAGTAAAATCACAGTCTTAAACCCCAGTCTCCACAAAGGAAAAATTACCATCTGAATAGAAATCATGGGCTATAAACTGAAAACTAAATATGTTGCAGCACATTTGGGCACCTAGAAATCCTTATGAAGTAGTAATTAGATTTAGCAGTTATAAATGATAGAATAATTATGTTCTGAACAACGGATGTATAAAGGGCCATGACTCCGTATAAAGTTACACATGTCTGTTTGATATTTCAATACATTACACTTGATAAAAGGATGGCAGTCCTAAAATGAAATTATATACAGGAGATCTGACAATTGCTGACAACATAGCACATATATTAGCCACAAGCAAAATGATACAACAAAACAGAAAATCTAAATGTGTCTTTGTCCCCTTTGGTATACAGGTCAGGAACTAATTAAAATGTAATCCAGGCATATGAATACAAAGTAGGCATGTACCTGCAATGGCTGTCTTGAGATAGCAATTTTTTAATGATGTATAAAGCAATTGTTTGCTGGTTTTCAAGGGAAAAAAGCCTGTAAAACCTTTTAGTAATGAACACTAACAGATGAATTCCTAATTTTAAAAAAAAATGAAAATAAAATCAATTCACTACATGCATGAATCCATGCTCAACATTGTCCTTTTACATGCCATATATAAAACAGCTCTAAGTTTAGCTGTTTATTCCTTACACAGTGATATTGCAAATTTCAGTTTTCAGTATTCCCAAGGTTGGCTTTGTAATGAATTGTTAGAAAGCTTGTAAGATTAATTAACTTAGTGGCTAATTGTTTCCAGAGTTGATCAGCAAGGAGGACACCATCAGTTTCCTTAAAATTTGTTTGAACATGACTGCGAAACTGATGCTGTCATGAAAATTTATTGAACCTGTCAATGAAGACCATTCAATGGAGTAACAAAACTATTTATAGACAGGTGTCATTTATATTGGTTCAATTATGTACTGTAGACTAAGTGGCCTTTCTATACAAGTAGCTGTTAAATTAAAGTTTACGTTAATGCATCTATGTGTGATTATAAATGAAGTGAACAAAATTAAGTCAAATACAACCAATAAAATGAAAATGGAATTTGTGTTTGGATTATCTACATACATGTATAAAGTTTGGGATCAAAAGAAAAAATTCCTAAGAGTTTAAATCTCATTTCAGTGAAAGTTTGAGTGTCATTTTTGATGAAAATTGATTGTTGTTGAAAATTTCAGTGTTTTTATAATGAAAAGATAACTTTTCAACCTATTCTAAATTTTTCTCAGCCAATGGCAATTACCTCTGATTGATATCATCAGGCTTGAACCAGGCATGACACCAAGCACGGATCTGGAGTATTTAGGTTTAAATTATTGAGACACCTAAAGGTTGCATTTGGAGACAAGCTTCCTTTACAAAACAGTATTATATGTGTGTATAGATACCAGTCTTCATGCAAGAGGAATTTCTCAAACAATAATTAATTAATTTGTACGAGATGAAGAACAGTTCATCAAGTACATTCTGTCCGCCTATTATCGATTTCTGAACATGAATCTTGTTCCTTTGGGACATATACATGATCCCCATCAATTTTGTATCGGATACACGTACCTGTACAATTAATGTAGAAGTTTTTTCTGTGAAAAAAGATTTCAAACATTATCAGTATAGAAGCTCAAATAATTTTCATATTTTGGTGTAAAATGGCTTATGACATGAATTACCAATTAATGTGAAACCATGCAAATAGAAAATTGAAATATTTCATATTATTAATTGTCTAATGAAATAAAACTGAAGGTTAATGCAAGATTACGGACATAGATTATATTATTTAAATGGTGGTGTACACAGTGAGCAAAGTGTTTATTTGGTGTGTTCATGGTTCCATGAACAACAACAGCTATTTAGGAGACCTTTCTCCATGTAGTAACTGCATCTGGTGACAGCTGATATATGGATTTATATAAAGTGTGTGTGACCATGCAAATACAGTATTTTCTCTCGAAATGTATACATGATTAGATCGAGCTCAAATGTAATTGGAAATATACATTTGTAGGTGATTAAATCTAAAAAAATAGTAAAGTTTCAGTTTTGTGGAAGACGTCATGGATACAACACTAATCAGTGTATAAAACTGTTACGACATACCAGTGCTTTGGTGATAGGATGTTAGTCGTTATGAATTATTCAGTATTCCACTTTCATTCAAGAATGCATACTGTACAAAGTAATCAATACTTATTGTAGTTTTATATTCTTCACTATAATCACAGCATCTAAGTATAGATAGTGAACATTGCGTAATTATTGCCAGGTGTCTACATGGCATTATTTAGAGGTAGTCATTATATACAGGTGTCCAATATACTGAAGACACCTACAGCAGAAAGGAGTATCAGTAAAACTGATGCATGCTCCCTAAAAACCACTTTATTGGACACAAAATTTTAACAAAGGGCAATAATTCTGTAATTATGAAGTTGCAGACCTGTAGTATATACACTGGTGTCCACTATACACAGGTTTCAATTTTATACAGTAGTCCAGTGCATGAGTCTTTATAGGTGTCCATAATATACAGGTGTCAACTGTACACAGGTACAAACCGTATTAAGGTATCTATAGTATACTAGTATTGTATATCTTGTCCATTGTATACTCATGTCTTATTTGTTCTAGGTGTTCCATTGTATATAGGTGTCCACTGGTGTCCACTGTATATAGGTGTCCACTGTATATAGGTATCCACTGTATTTAGGTGTCCTCAGTGCACAAGTGTATACTGTAAACAGATACGTTAGATATGTCTTTGGTTCCATGTAAAAAGGTGTAACAGAATACAAAGGCAATTATAGACGGATGTTTACAGTTAACAAATCTATATCTGCCATACAACAACACTATTGAATAAATGTAGGTCACCTTCCATGAACAGGTAAATCCGAGAATGTGATTTTCATCAACAAGACAGTTTTGATTGTAAGCACTGTGGATACCTCATTAAGTGATGACTAAATAGGAAAGATTATAACTCATGTTAAATTGTTACTGTGGAACATTGGTTTCCAAGGAATATTCCAGAAAAAATTCCTGTAATTCTTGAAATTTAACAAATAAATGTATGTGGTTGTATATTTTCCTTTATCAGAAATTTATACTGTTTATCAGAACTTATCAGTGTAGATATAGGATAAGTTCATGAGATCATAGCACAACATTAAGTTAAGTATTATACAAAGCATAGACAAGAGAGTCTGTATAGCTCAATCACCTGGCTGAAATTGCTTCATCAGAACTAAAGGAAAAAGATTTATAAATATCAAAGCACACAACTCATCACATGTCTATTTTCCCTATTGTGTCCTGACCCTCTGTCCCTAAGAGGGGTTAGCAAAACCGTTCATGCTTCAGACTAAATTGAAATAGAATCCCCCCATTCCTACGAAAGAAGGATTTTAAAGAATTTGTACTGTTTTCCCTATAATGGGTCCTGCCTCTCCAGCCCCAGTGAATCTGGACCCATCGTTTAGAAAAAAATGATTCCCTTTCACTTAAGAATGAGTAGGATTATAAAGAATTTGCTCTATATAACCCTATTAGTCCCTGCTCCTCTGGCCCCAATGTGTTGAGACCCACAAATTTCTTATTCTTCCTAAAAGGATGCTTCTGACCAAGTTTGGTCAAAATCAAATCAGTTGTAATGACTAGAAGTGATTTGCAGAAAATGTTGATGGACAGATGGACGGACAAATGCCGCGGTAGGTAAAAACTCACTGTTCCTTCATACCAGGTGAGCAAAAAATCAGAAAGTGTAATAGATATATCATAAACACACACATGCAGTTGTGAAATAAATAAAGCATGTTCACAACTATCATTTTGTATTTGAGTTAGTATGGTGTTTACTGTGTTTTGCAAATTAAGAAAAAAAAATGAAATTCCCTTATACTTATAAAAATATTTTAAGATGATGTTGGTATCCTGAACAAAAACACGAGGTGTGTGGTATGTTAAGCTAGATCATACATTTTTCATTGACCAAGCTGTAGGTACTGATGTGTGAATAGCCGAGAAGTCTTCCCGAACTGTTTTTTTTACCTGATAAAACAGTTACCTTCAACACAATCTCTGAAGCATCTGGTTAAGATCAATCAGAGTTTGTGATGCTTGTGATGAGATTTTCTATCAGGACTATTTAATTAAACATGACAATCTCAGACAAAAATAAGATTTACAGAAATGGAAAATCATGAGATAATGAACATGCTATCAACTAACAGAGGGATGGACTACAACAAATAGATGTCTTTATCAGAACAAATCAATGAAACCAGAATAACTCCATGTAACTTTGAATTCAATCAAATATTGATAAAAACAAAATGATCAAATTGACTCATCAAAAATGATTTCTGCTGATAATCCTAAAGAAATGGAAATATTTCTGGATCAAAATTCTAGGTTGTATTGATTCTAAATCAAAGAGCTAACAGGAGAAGACTGGGATTTATGGCCAAAGAATAGGCTGTCTAGCTATGTAACCTAGCCATACATAACCATATCATCCCCAGAGGTTAGTAGAACACATGCAAACACAAAAGACAACTCTCCAGGTCATAAGTCTGATTCATTGGTGCATTGACACGAGTTTGAATCTATAATATGCAATTCAAA